CTATTAAAAATATCATTCGCCTATATATATCATTTAACAACACTAATATATACCTTAGATTTATCATTTACTATAAAATTTTTTAAAGCATTTAACCTAATTATTACGAATAACTCAGGACGACAAACCCACCTATATAAAAAAAAAATGTTGTTTATAAATTCTTATGTTCTTTGCGAGTTTGCATCTCCAATATCAATAATGAAAAAGCAACATTATTTTCTTTCATTGGTTACACATGCAACAGTGCAATTCATGCAAATATCGTTAATTACATCACAAACAACCAAAAACAACTATTAACATAAAGTAAATATTAGTAGATAATACTAAAATACTGTATATCACAGATTCAAAATGCGAATTTTCGGCTGGAAAATTCATAGGCTGATCAAGCATGTAAGTAGACACACCAATTGACAGACTGAAAGACATGAAAGTTTACCAGAATAGAACATCTGGCCGACCAGCTTGTTCTATTCTAGTAAACTTGCATGTCTTAATTTTTATTTTTGTCTCTGAAGTAGAAGCTTGGAATCAGTCTAAAATTAAGCCAATTTGTGAAATTTGAATGATGGCTGAACTTCTGTTTTCGTTGAAGACAGGAAGTTCTGACAGATTAATCGATTAGTTGATTAATGCGTAAGAAAATTAAAACATTGCAAATATGTTGCTTAAAAACCTGGACAAGTAGAAATAAAAAGCAAAAGGTCATTTTCCAATATGATAATACTGCAGCACATACCACTAAAAACTGAATTATAGTTTCAGGACAGTCTTTGTAACTTTTTGGTCTGGTCATTCACTGGATCTTAACTCCATAGAAATCATATGAATGCATATTACTGTCAAACTGCTTGGAAGAAAATCTGAAATGGACTCCTGATCTTGATGTTGGTACTGGTTTTTCATTTTGTGTTAACCACTGTCTTTTCCGTTTTCTACTGACATTTTTATTCATAGATTAAATGCTTCCCTTTCATATTTCTTTGGAAAAGGTTAAAACTCATTTTCAGTCACCTGTAATAACACAATACAAAAGTGAAAGGTTGGTTATTTCTGGTTAAAAGACAGTTGCAGATGGTTGAACGTTGTATTCCGTTACAAACAAAAGCATTAACCCTTATTCAAAACTAATGTGCCGTCTTTCGGCTAAAAATGTTTAAATAGTTTTAACCCTTTTGAAAAAATTGGAAAGGGTAGCATTTAATCTATAAATATATAATTTAATAGAATCATATTGTAGGCAATGCCTGAACAAATTGTTTCAGTAGTTTAAATGGGACGAATTTATTAACATTCAAAATGGCCTTGAGAACCACGCGTGATGAGGATAGTTGCTGATTACCTCCCGACACACAACAGGGATGGCAATAAGTTCTTATTTAGATGTCGACTGAGACAGATGTGGTACTCAGAGATGAATTGCATGCTTCTTAAATAAGGACATAAAACAGTGCCGGCTGACCCTCTGAGTGACATTACAAATAAAATCTGTATATCCGTCCCTTCGCTTAGAGCTTGCTTTTTTTCAAATGTGCTATAATTTCTCCGTAAGAGGCAAATTATGATAACTCTTTCTATCTATTTATATAGGATTAATGCAAATATAAAATTTGTAACTTAGCTGATTCAGCATCTCAACTCCGGAGTTTGGTAGATGAAGCATTGTGTAATTGTTTCAGTTCACTCGTCATGAGGTTTCAACAACAGATTGCCGTTTTTCTCATTTTTCGTTATTTTTAAATTATATTTTTATAAATAACATTTTGAATGACATGTTTATATATTCTAGTGATATATATATAAAATCTTTTCAGGTATAATTTATTTGAGGGATTAATTTCTTTGCGTTAGCATATCACGGATATACTAGTGCTCATTTGAATGATGCACTGAAATATAAAAGACTATTTTCTAATTAAAAAAGTTAACCCTTGATTTTGTTTATGACCACACCCGTCCACTGTCCATGTGTTGCAAATTCGACGTAGTAAACAATTATACAAATCGATCTATGACACAGATGGTACATCCACTACATTTCAAAATATGATGATTTATTATTTACAAAGTTTAGCTATTTCAGAAAAGAATTCGACATTTATTTTAGGATTGACAGTATAAAATTTTTATTCCTACCAAATCTAAGTTCTTGTGCTAAACACCAAAATTTAGTAGAAAGAGCGAGACACAATAACAGGCGTAAAATTACAAAAGAAGACAACCACTGCGTAAAATTTTAAAAGGAAAAATATATACGAAAAAACAATTACCCATAAACTGGAAAAGATCCTTTACAAATTTTGGCGAGTGTTAACCGCTGAGCCGAAAAAGACACACAGTTTTTACACAAACCATTTGGCCTACATAAAAATACACTTCTCTCAAAAAATCGTGTATTAAAAAACAACTTACACGATTATACACTTAGATGATTATAACATTTTAAAAATAATATTAATTAAATTTTTATAACCGACTGAATTGCGTAAAAACTGGAAAGAACTACTCAGAAAAAATAGCGCAAAATGAAAGAACAATTCAAGAATAGAAAAGAAATTACTTAGGGGAAAAATGACAAATGTTCGACTAAAAATACATCTCAAACTTCCGACGAAAGTTTCTTAAAATGATTTTCAATTTTCAGAGTTTATTGTCGTTAATATTTTCAGTAAATTTAAATCCACGGCGTAGTTCGAGTATATTAAATAATTAAATAAATAAAAATTCGTAAAACTTTCTAAAATTTTTCAGATATATTTATCATGAGTTACAAAAATGAACGTGTCTTTTTCTCTCGACAGACGGACTGGCTGACTGACAGTATAGACCTGGGGTCAGAAAAAGATGTTTTTCGTGACATTGCAACCCGGTCTTGAAGGACAAAAATTATTGGATTAGACAAGACAATAAACTAAATAATATATATATATATATATATATATATATATATATATATATATATATATATTAAGGCTTTTAAATTTGAGAACGTTCATGAATATTCACCAGGTTGTTGGAAGTTTCAGTAAAAACATGTGGAGGACACAAATTGCCATAATTCAGTCTGGTATAACAAAAGTAAGTGTGTAGTATTCAAAACATATTTTCTTTTATAATGAATATTGTTTAAATTGTGATCAAATTGTTACGGTTTGGGATGGGTAGGGGATTTACGTGTTTTCTTTTGATTTTTTAACATTTTTGTAGTTGTGTATGTTGGCTTAGAAAATGTGAGATTGGAAAGAAACCGGGGCGTAGATTTATATTTTGATAAGATTCGATAGTGGCACTCTGGATAATTTTCCTTCTAAGTAAATTACTTTATCTTTTGATAACTATGGCATTTTAGATCAAAATTGTGGTTGAATTTATTTCCGTGTGTTACTACACATTTGATAAATTGCTGTGTCTTTTGTGTTCATATATACGTTATTTTCTTTTAAATTTCTGCATATTTCCCCATTGTTTTGTGAGGAACAGTTTTGGCACTTTATTTTATATATGCTTGCTTCTGAATTATTATTGTTATAGGTGTTTTGGGTTCTGATCATATACATAATGGTTTTGGAAATGGTTGTGACTATTTTGATGTTGTTTACATTGGATAAGTTGTTTTGGATAATGAATGTTATAGAGTTGGTAGGTAGTATTATGTATCTGTTTTTCTTTAGTTTATTGCTGCGGATAATGCTGTTATCTTTATTGCAGTCGTGTATTTTATATGCCTGTCTCTTTGCGTTGTGGGTGAAATGATAAGGATATTGGAGGTTTTTGAATATGTTTTCTGTGTTTCTTCTTTGGGTAGGTATTTTTAAACATTCTTAATGAACCTAAGCAGAAACCTATAATTATACCAGATTTAATCTTACTAAAGTGGCGGGAATAAAAATTGGCCAGGTCATTCTTGTTGGTAGCTTTTCTGTAAACGTCAAATTTGAGTTCGTTATTGTTTCTATGTAAGGAAGGAAAGTGTGTAGTTGGCTTTAGGTTGAAAGATGAAGACTATTGTAGATTCAACACTATTTTGTTGAAAAGATCTAGTAAAATAGTGTTTTGTGAATATATTAGTAGGGCGTTCGTCTATGTATCTGAAATAAGAAAAGTTCCATGGTATATATATATATATATATATATATATATATATATATATATATATATATATATATATATATATATATATATATATATAGCAGTGGAATCGTGGAGACGAATTCAAATTCCAGATGAGATTTTTTTCATTGGTACAAATGTCTTTGGAAAAGCCATAAATATTTGTTTGCTAACCAGTCTAAGAGAAGAACAATTCTTAATTCAGCATTCCGTGGAAAAAGTAACAAAAAACCTATTCATTATCTTTTAAAACAATCATCATGCCAATGATCTGGTTAGAAAGTAAAAAAAGAATGAAAGCGATGAGAACCAATATCCACCAAGTGTATATGTCTGGTTATGTCTGTGTGTAATTTTTTTTTATTTAAAGTGGTGTAGAATGTTAACAACTTGATTATGAAATTATTTTCTCTTCGAGTTACATGTGATATCTATTTTAGTTGTTGCAGCTGTTGATAGTCCTCAAATGATGTGGTTTCTGTTATTTGGTACTTATGTTTGGGATTCTGTAGCGCCAGTTCACAATGTTCAAAGAAGGATGACCTTTGCCAAGACACTCAAGCTTTATTCTCTCAAAGCATTTTACACCATTGATCTTAGAAAGTAGTTGTATAGAGCTGACGGCTTAGATATTTCTGACCGGTTGTAGCGCTATGAATATTATCCATATAAAAGTTTCGATCAGACCAGGAAATTTAAGGACATGACTCGAGTTTTCAGATTGGTATTTTGGTTTCGTAACAATTTGTGTTGTAGTACAAAACTACCTCTGACACAGTCTATTCTTTGTTCAATTTATTTTTCTCCTACACTTAATTTGTTATAACTGGCCCATACACCGGGCTATTTAAACTCTACGTCCTAAATTTTTCATGAAATAAATTTTATTCGAATATTTGAAGAAGAAGAAGAAGAAGAGAAGAAAAGGAGGAGGAGGAAGAGAAGAAAGAAAGAAAGAAAGAAAGAAAGAAAGAAAGAAAGAAAGAAAGAAAGAAAGAACAACATCTTTCAGTTGTATGCTGGGAAGGATGAGCAGGATAAAATCTGACAACAAACAGCTTGTTGGATGTTAGCAAACTGACAAGTTTTGGGTGAAGTTTTTAATGAGCTACTTTGGACATTTTCAACCAGATGGATTTACACAGTTACACAATGTAAACCGGTCGGGCAAAATTATTGGATCAAAGATCTCAGCGTTTCCGAGTTGAAACGATAAATTTGACATATAATAATTTGGAATGTGTAGTGTCATAATGGATAGGATTGTAGAACAGAATAGAGGTGTGAGAGACCGAGAAGAATTGCAAAATATAGAGGGAGGATTTCGCAAGTTCAGTCGAGCATGACTGGAACTAGACAAGAGCTAGAATTGACTTAATCTGAGCTGGCTTGTAGAGATGTGAAACTGTAGCAAGGTATTGCTCTACAAACTCAGCCGAATAAACAGATTTATGAAGGAGGGTGTAGCTCAAGCGACACTCACACTGTTGGTTGATTGCATTTGCTGAAGCAAGAAGACAAGATTCATGAGACTTTGGTGTTATCGCAAGAGCCTTCATATAGAAGGCAAAAAATTGAAAACGATTAAATTTGCTATAAGTGTGACTATAACAATATAAACAGAAGCATCCTTTTATTAAAGAATTTCGGAAAACGATGTGCGTAAAATGCATTGGTTAGATACATAAGGCAAAGAAATGTTCCTCTCTACTTGGGAAAGGAAAAAAATCCCTCCCCGCCAAGAAAGAAACGAGAATGGTAGGTTAGGAAACCCCAGATTTCTAGCCCAAAGGAAGTTAATAAAGGAATTATCCGGATCATATATATATATATATATATATATATATATATATATATATATATATATATATATATATGATAAAGTATAGTTTTAGAGTATGTTATATTTATCGTAAAAATTTCTCAATATTCAGGATAGAGAATATATAAATATAAGAGTGAGCACTGTGGTCATCACCGAATGGCGACGGTCTGCTTTATGCTCAGTACTGACTACGGTGTCCATTTATAACTATAGTGAAATGGAGCTCAATTTGAGAATCAATATGTTATTTGTTATTTAAAGTAGCCAAATCATTGTGAAAGAATGTGGATCATGGCTTGTAGCAGAATTAGTCTGAAAATAGTGCAAGTCAATGTGGCTTTGTTTGAAACACTGGACCAAGAAATTCATTTCTTATCAAAATGCGGTCAAAACTAGCAGTAGAAACGGAGAAAGAACGAATCTTACGTTTAGTAGATTACGCAAAGGCGTTCAATAGAGTACAGCAATTCCCTCTAATTTAGGAAATATAAGCTGAAAAATATTAAAATAATTCTTAACCTTTACCGGGAACTAAACAGCTGCATGTAGAGAAAGAGAGAGTGGGGGAGAAATAGAGAGAGGAAGAAAGAGAGAGAGAGAGAGAGCGGGATGGGGACGTGAAAAGGATGAAAGGAGCTATAAGGATTTATTATAGATGGATGCAATCATAAAAATAAAACTTCTGCTACGTGGATGATACTGTGATGATAGCAGATTCAGAAAGAAAACGAAAATTACTATTAGTCTAGGTAGGAAAGGAAAGTAAGAACGAAAGACTAACTATTAACTGTAAAAAGACAGAATCTTCAGTGCCGGTTTTGAGTCCAAATTGTTGGCGACAATGGCTCTCCGCTACTTCCTGCCCATTATAAATCTCAGCACCGTTTTACTATTTACTATCTGTTCATGGATATATATCTTTCATAAAAAAAACGCTAATAAAAATAAATAGTTTAAATTATTACAATAATATTGTTTATACAATTAAATTTATATAATTAATTATATTAATTATAAATAATTATTATTAATACTATAATTAATATAATTATAAATAATAATTAGTTATAATTATAATTAATTATTATATCTATGAAGAGAACCTGAAAATGTAATCTATTTCTATAATTCTCCAAATGTGTGTGTGTTTGTGTGTTTGTGATCGGATGTTGTTTATGCGTTTCCACGGTTTTCTTACTGTTTCGATGATTTTTTTTTTTTTTTTGATAGATAATTCTTCAGTGTCAGTTTTGACTCCAAATTGTTTGGAAAAAATGACGACCTTGAAGATGAAAAATCGAAAAAACTGATTTTTTGCACTTAGCGCAAAAATCAAAGGCAAAATTTAATAACATTTTTTTTTTTTTTTTTTTTTGGATGCCTCAAGCAAGATAACTGATGTCAGGGACATTCGATTTTCGTTTTTTTCCTGTGAAACAATCGCTCAATTGTAGCGAACCTAAAATATGTTCTACAATTGCAAGACATCAGTGATGTGCCCCCGTTTCCTCAACATTTAGGCATCATTCTGCCTGCATACGCGTAAACCTACTCATTCTGCAACTCTGTGTCTATTTACCAAGTTTTGTTTGTTCATGTTCTCTCAGTTTCATTCGCCTAATGCATTTCCTAAAATTACTTTTTCACACATAACCTTCCAATCCTAGTTCATGTTATGTGGGCGTGATTCACACCGCCACACGTTGCCTATCGGTTGTTGCTGACCTTGATAATTAGCGCGTGCAGCAACGCGTGTACGTGTGGCCCTGCAACACGCGCTGTGCCACGCGTTGATGCAGAACGTGATACCTGTTCGAGTTGACCATTGACTGCACGAAATCACTTTACGCGTCCAATCAAATGTCGCCGTATCATACTGATTGTCTACGCAATCCTAAGTTCATTGCTATCGCTTAATTCCGCAATTTCGTTTCTACTTCTGTACGTCTAGCTCTGCTTACACATTCCCCTTTTCTTGGCCAAGTCCAATCTATCTCAGATGATTCATTCATTCACCGTAGTAATAAGTAAGCTTGCCTTTTTATTGCTCAACATTTATTTTTCCAGCCTTTCTTAAAGTTATTCGAGCTTAATGACCCCTGTAGATTTTCGGCGTTCTCTTCTGGTATTTGCCCACGCATTCCATTTGAAAATTCATACCTGCCTAAGACATGCCACCAAAGAAAAGAACTTACCTAGGTCGCAAAACCGCTGACGCCAGGTCCGCCATGCGAATAAGGGATAACGAATCGTCTTTAGAACGTGCAGTTCGCCTGTTTCAAAATGGCTCTCGGAACGCTTCAATCAGAGCCACTGCGTCCGAAGATCAACGTAGCCATCGGCTTTCCAGAAGAACGCTTCTGCTTCTGAACGCTTCTGCGCGCGAGGCTGAAAATGATGATCAAAGGACTCAACGGCTAACGAGAAACGCCTCTTCAACTGCTGCTGTGTGTGAGCCTGAAAGACTGAGAACGTAAAAACGGCCCTTTTCAGGGACCCCCCCCTTCAAATTGGGAGATGTACCTTAGTTGCAACCAATTGTTGTTACTAATATTGATTTTCGGATGGGTTGACTTTAAACTGCTCCAATTGAACGGCAAAAATTCCCAGTAATGAAACACCTGGTCGAAGTCGGGTTATACTGCTAGTAATTTCAATAGATTTAAATTAATTTATTTTTTATACTTCTATAAGAAGTTAGGGATTACAGGACAAAATTATTGTTTTTGAACGATGGCATCATAGTCTACTGTGCGTAAATAAGCGTTATTTTAATTACGTTTTAAAGTAAGCATTACGCTTACAAAATCCAGTTAAATAAACATTAAATTTATTAAATGGCTTTGAAACACAACACTATTACAAATATTGGACTGTTAAGAAATTTTAAAATTGGCTGTTTATATTTTTCGCCTACTGTGTTGGCTTGATTTATTGATGAGTGACAAGGAAATGTGCCAATATTTCTAAAACTCCGACAAACTTTATATACATACTGAATTTTTTCTTTAAATACGGATCAGCTTTCAATTATCTTTCAAATAAAACGAAAATTTAACTTCAAAGAAGCTATTTTAAGTTATTTAAAATACATTTTAGGATGTACGTGGCGGTACCTAACAAACAACAGGCTGATTTTTTAAAATATATTTCTTTTTTCAACTAGGGAAAACGTAAAAATAAAATAATGCTTTGTATTTAAATAAATAAAAGTCTGCCAAGTTCGAAGTTATTTTGTTGCAAGTGAGCCTGCAAAGTTCGAAGTTATTTTGTTGCAAGTGAGTTCGAGTTCGAAGTAATATGTACGCCAATGTGTGTGTGTGTTTGTGTGTGTGTGTGTGTGTGTGTGTGTGTGTGTGTGTGTGTGTGTGTGTGTGTGAAGCACAAGCTAATGAAACATGTGTGCGACTGCTGACTGATTTCGTGTGATAGCAGTGAATTTAAAATACAGTGAACAAGGAGAGTTGAGACAAGACTTATTTCACCATGGCTTTGTATGTAGGAAAATCATCGCTAACTGGTGCGTTGTCATGGTACCGTGTCGCGACCAGGCCTGTTCGCTGACTGTTCCATTTCAAATCTCGTCCTGACTTGTGGTTTGAGTCATCTCCGAATCGCTATCTGTGTTTTACCCGGGAACCCGGTGCCCTGACCTATTCCCAGGTCATTTGGAATTCAACTACGCGGACGTCGTAGAGAGCACATCACGTGACTTGCCATACCCAATCACGTTCCAAAATCAACTTATTTAATTTTGAAGTCGTGTTTCCACAGAATTGCAAAAGTTTTTCGTATCTGCTGAATTTAATGAGATTTATTTTCAGGTGTCTCTTACTTGTTTGTACTTCGCTTATTGGCCGTAAAATATAGTTTATATCCTATAAATTCAGTACTCTTTTCTTTGTTTCTAACGAAATTTTCCTGTTTCTTAATTCGTTGCTTAGCTTATACAAGGCATCTTTCAATATTTCAATGTGCCTCGGTTTTTAGTACCGCACTTCCCGTCTTCTGTTAAGACGCTTACCAGATATTTATATCTGGTAAGCGTATTTCCAATTTGTAATTTGCATTTTGGACTGTTCCCTTTTTAACAACCACGAATTCTGTCTTCTTGCAAGAATTCTCTCTTTCCTTCTCTATCTCCTGTAGGAATTATTGTAATTTACTTTCTGTGTCTACTATCATCATTGTGTCATCTGCATATTTAAAAATTATGGTCGCCAATAATGAATCCGGTTAAGAATTCTCTCTAATTGCTCTATAGGTTGAATAAATTCGGTGAGAAGACACATCCTTGTCTTACACCTCTTTCTATTTTTGTATATTTACCAAATTCATTTTCTATCTGTATGCAGGCGGTTTGCTCCCAGTATAAGATTCTGGATTATATGTCCTTCCCAAATATGTCGAGATTCCCTAGCAGTGACCAAAACGGTGAAACCGCTAAAAACAAGCAAGCCCAAAGAATATGTATCACGTGACCACCGAGATGAGAGCTTGTACTTGATCAGCACAAACATGAGTTGCATGGTGGGTAGTGCCTGATGTTGAAAAACCGGAAAATTTTAATGAAACTGACACCTTATCTCGGAGAATTCGAACAATGTTTCTTACTAATCGTTCTAAAAAATGTTTTAGCTTTAAATATATCGGAAGTCCATTTGACGCGCCCTACGAGTTTTATGAAAGAAATTCGACTAACCGGATATACTTCACAAGTATCCTTTTTTGTTTCAAACAAAGGAGTAACGAATTAATGGGAATAGTCAACAATTAGCACTGGTTTGTATAAAATGAGGTTTAATGTAAAATAATTTGTCTCAATGTATTGTATATATTATAACTCGAATTTAAATTCAAAACTATTAAAGTAGGTACCTCTATGAGATCGCTAAAAAAGAGCATAGCATGATGAAAAAGACGCCAAACTTGACGAAAACAAAATTTTATTGTCTAAATGTCTTCTGATTAGTCAAAACTATACAATGTGGTAATAAAAGATGTATCTCATAAGTACACTTACGAAAGCGGATGCAGCTTTTAACTAATTTTATAATATTTTAACAACTTAAATGTAAACATCTATTATAATTAAAGAAATAAATAATTGTATATTAAAAATTCATTTTTCATCGAAAAATTTTTTGCTTTCATAAAATATTGTCCATACTCATAAAAACAACTAAAAGCAAATAAAAGCATTTGAAATTAAATAATATCTTTGTTTTATTGAGTTTTGTATGTTACAATTCAGAGCTGATTTTTATATAAGGGGTTTCAATTAAACAAAAAAACATGATTTGCATTCCTCAAAGCCCTGTGCTTTTAACTATTGTAATCACTAAACTGTATTCAATCGAATTTCTAGAGTTTTCATAAAATTAGTTAGGAGGGGGTAATAAATATAAAAAAAATATGTCTGCCATGACTTTAATAAAAAAAATATTTATAATAATTTCGATCATCTATGAATAGTTTCTGAAAGTTTCATTAACATCCGACAATTACTTTTATTTTTGCAAGATTTTCCAAATTAATGTGTGTCATACAAAAAAAAATCGTGCTAAAAATTGTATATGTTATTTTTACTAGTTCCGGTGATACAAAGAGAAACAAGGTTTTTTTAATCAAAATTT